CATATGAGACACTCAAAATTAACTCTGTGGAAACAGAGGACGAAGCCTTCGCAACCTTAGGCATCCAACTTCCACGTCATAACTCAAGGAATACAAAACATAAACTCAAAGTCAAGATCGATACTGGATCCCAAGGGAATGCATTGCCCTTCAGACTATACAAGGAAATGTTCCCCCAGAAATTTGACAGCGGTGGACAACCAACAGAACTAGAACTAGACCGATCCAAAGCCAAAATAACCGAGTATGGAGGAAGTCAAGTTAAACAATATGGCACCTGCAAAATCAAGTGCTCCTACAAGGAGAAGGAAGAAAACGCCACATTCTATGTGACGGAGGACAAAGGACCAGCCATCTTAGGACTGCCTACCTTAAGAGAACTAGGACTGGTCGGCACAAATCTAGAAATGAAGTTGCAAGACAGATCAAAGAATGCTGCAAATGCTCGATCTAGCCCCAAAAGCAACCCTCACAAAACTCCAGAAAGTCCCAAAGCCTCCCTGATGACCCAATGCCCTGATAACTTCAACGGAATTGGGAAGTTTCAAGGAAAATACCACATTCATATAGACCCCACAGTCCCAGAGGTCATCCATCCACAAAGGAAAATACCCCTTAAACTCAAGGACAAAATCAAGACAGAACTGGATGAGATGGAAACAATGGGAATCATCAAGAGAATCAAGGTGGAAGAACCCACAGCTTGGGTGAACAGCTTAGTATACAGAGAGAAACCACCGGGACGGCTACGTCTTTGCCTAGACCCCAAAGACCTCAACAAAGCAATACTGAGGGAGCATCACACTACACAAACTCTGGAAGAAATTTTGCCACACCTCTCCGGAGCAAAGTACTTCTCCATACTTGATGCAAAATGTGGATACTGGAACGTTGAGCTTGACGATTCAAGTTATCTGACCACATTCAATTCTCCATTTGGCCGATACCGATTTCTAAGAATGCCCTTTGGACTTCGAATGAGCCAAGACGTTTTCCAAGCGAAAATTGACCAGACATTTGAAGGCTGCAAAGGTGTGATTGGCATCGCAGACGATATTGTGGTGTTTGGGAAAACTACAAAAGAACATGACGCAAACCTACAGAACATGATACTTCGGTGTCAGGAAACTGGACTCAAGCTGAACCCAGACAAATGCAGAATCAAGGAAAACCACATCAAGTTCTACGGCATAATCTGCACAGGCGAAGGGATCAAGCCTGACCCAGCAAAGGTCGAAGCCATCAAAGCCATGATCAGCTCCAGAAAATGAGAAAGAGCTACAGTCCTTCCTGGGTCTAGCGACATACATGGTCCCCTTCATCCAAAACATCAGCCAGCTCTCAACACCACTGAGAGAACTCCTGTCCAAGTCAAACAAGTTCGAGTGGACAATAAAATAAACCACCAAAATGCATTCCAGAAAGTCAAGGACTCAATTACAACTACAAGTGAGGTCACGCTCGCCTACTTCAATCGGGAAAGCCCATCACATTGCAAGTAGATGCATCCATAATAGCACTTGGTGCTACACTCCTGCAAGATGGTAAGCCAGTAGCATTTGCCACCAAAACCCTCACAGATGAAGAAACGCGATACGCCAACATCGAACGTGAACTTCTCGCTGTGGTATACAGGTGTGAACGGTTCCACACACACCTGTACGCACAGACATTCCAAGTTGAATTTGACCACCGCCCTCTCCAGTCGATTCAGCTAAAGCATCTCAAGGCAGCACCCCCCAGACTCCAGAGAATGCTACTAAGACTGCAACCATATGATTTCCAAATCATCTACAAACCAGGAAAACAGATGCTTATCGCAGACGCCCTGTCCAGACTCCCTGGAAATGAGAAGGAACCAATAGAGGGCCTGAATGTCAAGATCCACGCAATAGCGACACAGTTCAGTGGAAACTATCTACAACGCATCAAAGATGCTACAGACACAGACACTGAACTGATGGCCTTGAAAGACTTAGTCTACTTTGGCTGGCCAGAGAAACAACAAGATGTACCTAATCAATGCAAAGCCTACTGGAACTATCGGGACGAAATATCCATTGAAGATGGAATTCTCATCAAGGGATCAAGGATAATCATCCCCAAATCTATGAAAGAAGAGGTTATGAAGAAACTCCATGAACCACATCTTGGTACAGAGAAAACAAAGCTCCGCGCCAGAGAGACAGTTTTTTGGCCAAATATCAACAAAGAAATGTACCAAACAGTCTCAGAATGCCAAGTGTGCCAAAAACACCAGGCAAGTCAACGAAAAGAACCCCTAATCCGATAAGAGATACCACCAAGACCATGGCACACCATAGGCACTGATCTATTCTACCCGAATGATGGCTATGAATGCCGTCTCATTAGCGACTACTATTCGAAGTTTCCGATTGTCCGCAAAGTGTCAAAAGACACCAGCAACGGCGCAACAAGGGTTATCACCTTCTTGAAACAGGCTTTCAGTGAGCATGGAATCCCAGAAATTGTGCGATCTGACAATGGACCACATTTCAGCGGAACTGCTTTCAGAGAATTTGCAACAGCTTATGGATTCCAGCACAAAACAAGTTCACCCCATTATCCAAAGAGTAACGGTTTCATCGAGAGCCAAGTGAAACTCGTGAAACGTACCTTAAAAAAGGCATTTGAAACATCCCAAGACCCATACCTGAGTCTTCTTGCTCTGAGAACAACACCAATCAACAACAGCTTACCTTCTCCCGGACAAATGCTCTTCAACAGACAACTGCGAGACACAATGCCAAGAAAGATACATCGCGCTGTAAACAATGAACAAATTGAGAAAGGACTAGAGAAAAGGCAGGAAACACAAAGGTACTACTATGACCAACACACAAAGACATTGCCGCCTGTATCAAGAAATGAACATGTGACAGTTCAAAACGCATAAACAAAAAAATTGGGAACCTGCAATCGTCACCGAAAAAGTCTCGTCACCGAGATCGTATGTCATAAATCAGCACGACACGCGAGACGTACGCAGGAACAGAAGCCAAATCCGTTCTGTTCCATCCCCCAGACAAGTTCAACGTGAACCACCAACTGACCCACCTGCACAACCCCCGGTCACAGAACAAGCTGCACCTTTACTATCACCACCTGCACCCAGAAGAAGCGGAAGAAAGATCAACGCCTCGATCTTTAAAAACCTCAAATTCATACTCATCGGAACCCTCCACATCTTTTATTTTTTTTTCCTTAAATGGAGGAAGAATGGTCAAAAGGATTAGCCTGATGCCATTTCTATGCCAACATGTAGATGTGTAGTTCGCAAACACCTACATAAACAAGTAAAATCTTACTACCCCATGCAAACAGCAGGTACAGATCAAGAGAAATAGAAGGAGAGAGGTTTCAATTCACACAAATAAACAACACACTAGGAAGTGAATATGGCCATTCATTCTTTTTTTTTCAGCTCCAAGAGACTACCTAGTCCTGGCGTGCATGACTGTGAAGTCTTCGTCACATGAACATAAACAAGTGTGGAAATCTATCCCATGACAATTAGAACTCTATAGGACACTATCTCCATAGAACTCAATACACAGATATTTTGACATTAATTTACTAGACATGTACTGTGGAGGCTAATTTTCTCATCCTCAAATCAGTAGCATAACATTACATTTTATATAAATCTACCCTTAGGAGAACTTCAATCCTTACGTCATTATTATATACACCGCTATAGATTATATAATTAATTTTTTTTTTTACAGAATAGGGGGTGTCATGATATTTTAATGTTTACCCTACACGACCTCATTGTTATACTACCCGTGTTCCAGTGACCTAATAACCCTCTCGCTTTTAGTTTCACTTTAGTCTTTGTTCTGTTAGCACTTCGAGTCAGTGTCCCGGCTGCTATACATGAGCCATTAAACCTCTGTGCTTTATCCGCTGTGTTCTGTTGTCGATCATTCCTTGTACTTGTGCATGTGTATACAAACACGTCACTTAATTCTTAAGATACTTCTCATACATCTGTTGATGAAAGTTGGACTTTATTCAGCACTGTCTTTGTTGTCTTCCAAGTTTCGCAGCCGTAGAGGAGCACAGACTTGACATTGGAATTAAAGAGTCGAATCTTAGTGCACAGTGAGATGTTGCTTGTTTTCCAGACTTTTGATAATTGCTTGAATGCTGACCTTGCCTTGGCGGTTGTTGCTTTTACATCTGCCTCTGTTCCACCTTTACCCTCGATGACACTTCCAAGGTAGGTAAAGGAGTCCACTTCTTCTAGTGGATTGTCTTCCACTGTCACAGCAGGGCTTGACACTTTTCCTAGCTTCACTATATGTACTTTCGACTTGCCCGGGTTTTAAACGTAGGCCAACACTCCTTGATAGGCTGTTGAGTTCCTTGGTCCTTTCTTGCATTTGAGCATGTGTGTGAGAGAGCAGTGCAAGTTCATCGGTGAAGTCCAAGTCGTCTAGCTGCTGCAAAGGGAACCACTGTATTCCATTTCGCTTGCCTCTGGTGGCTTTCTTAATTATCCAGTCAATTGCCAGTATGAAGAGAAAAGGTGAGAGCACTCCTGTCTCTACCTGGAATGATTCTGAGAGTTGTCCTTCGTTGTTGCCTTGGCAATTTGTTCCATCATAGGTGGTCTTCACAAGCTTGACGATTTTGTCAGGTATTCCATAATGCCGAATGAAGTTTCTACAGACTTTCCCTGTCCACTCTGTCAAATGCCTTTTCATAATCAATGAAGTTGACCACTAGTGGTGAATTCCATTCAAGTGATTGCTCAACAATGATGCGCGGGGTAGCGATCTGGTCCACACATGATCGGTTCTTGCGGAATTCTGCCTGGTTTCCCCTGCCTGAGCTTCTCATCTGTTGCCAGCTCGATTCTCTCCAGGAGTATCATGTTAAAGACTTCCACAGGTATGGACAGGAGTGTTATTCCTCTGTAGTTGTTACAATTGCTGAAGTCTCTTTCTTTGGCAGCTTGATTAGGTGGCCTTCCTTCCAGTCTGATAATATTTCCTCTTCTTGCCAAACCTTTTCGAATAGAGCATAGAGAATTTCCACTGATGTATCTTTATCTGCCTTATGGGCTTCCGGTGGTATATGGTCGGGACCAGCTGCCTTGTGGGACTTCAGTGCTGTTATAGCTGCAGCAATTTCCTCTCTCGAAGGTGGTTCCGTAGCGATACGGAGGTCATTTCTGGCTGGAAGAATTTCTGGTTGGTTTTCTAGAGGTGGTCTGTTCAATAGTTGATCAAAGTGTTCTCTCCATCCATTCAGTTGCCCCCCTGGGTTGAAGATAGTCTTTCCCTCTTTGTCTTTCACTGGTAGAATAGGCTTGCTGAACCTACCTGAAAGAGTCCTTGTTGTCTGATGTACAATCCGCAAGTGCCCGTCTGTTGCGGCTTTCTCTGCCTTTTCGGCCAGGCCATTCAGGTAGGTATTCTTGTCCTTCTTGATGGAATTCTTTACCTCCCGGTTTACTTCAGTGTACTCTTGTTGTGCAGCGAGTTTCTCAGTTCGGGTATGGCTGTTGTTGACTTGGGCCTTCAGCTCTCTTCTTCTTTTGATTTTGTCTGGAGAGTCCTGTGAAATCCATTCATTCCTGGTGTTGACTTTGGGTACTAGGATGCTCTGGCAAGTTGCATTTACTGCCTCTTTTATCTTGTCCCAGTGTTCGTTTACTTCACAGTCATCGAGATCTTGAAGGGCTTGAAATCTGTTCTTTAGTTCCAACTTGAATTCATTATTCTCTACTGGGTCTTTCAGAAGGCTCTCTTCATACTTTTGGCGACTTCCAGTTGTGATTTGTGCATACCCTCTCAGTTTCAGTTTCATCTCTCCAAGGATCAAATGGTGGTCTGATGCGACGTCTGCTCCTCGTAAGACTCAGACCTCCTCCAGTGAGCGTCTAAACTTTGATCAATCTGGTTTTCGGTTGTTCCATCCGGGGAGATCCACGTGGCCTTATGAATTCTTTTATGTGGGAAGATTGTTCCTCCAATAACCAAGTAGTTGAATGCACAGAAGTTTTGGAATCTTTCTCCGTTGTCATTTGCCTCTCCTAATCCATGTCTGCCCATGATTTCCTCAATGTGAGGATTGTCCGAACCTACCTTTGCATTTAGGTCTCACATGGCAATGTTGATGTCTTTACCTGGAAGTCTGTTGATCACACTCTGCTGGCAGTTGTAGAAGTCATCTTTATTCTTCACTTCTGCATCATTGGTTGGTAAGTGTTTTACGGCGCTCGCGACTGCATAAGGTC